TGAAGGTTTTATAGCCTTTGGATTTCAATTCAATTCCTAGAGTTAGAAACCTCAGAATAGGCTCAATTTTGGAGGGTTGCCTTCATAGACATGCCCTATCAGTATGTAACTGACAGACTCTGAATCAGAAATCATTTGATTAGGTTTTGAAGTATTTGAAAATTCAATGAAAAAGGCTTTCAGGACTTGGACCTTTGGCCTTGGATTTGAGTATGGATTGATCTAAGATCTAGGTAGATCCTAAGGTCTGGATTGATCTAGGATTATAGATAGATCCTAGGGTCTGGATTGGTCCTAGTGACCTCATACAAAAATGAGGTCAACATCAACATAAATTTACCATGGGTTAAACATGGTCCTAAGAATCCCTAAAAGGGTTATATAGTCATCTGGATCCAAGACCAACCCAAAATATATTGTTTGGTCCTATAGATTCTAAGGTGGGTCATATAGGGAAATTTTGGGATTTTTGACTATTCTTGGTCAACTAGGGAAACCACGAGTAGGGTATGGCTCTAAATGATCTTAAGATGAATTAAGATGATTTGTAACCAATTCCAAGATTTGGATTTGAGTTCAACCTAAGGGGCCTATATAGGATACCTTAGGGGAATTTTAATAATTTTGCCACTTTTAGTCAAATGAGTTTAACCATAGGTGGGAATGGTTCTAAATGATCATATAGTGGATTAGAATCATTTAACACCAAAATCAAGGGAAAATGACTAAGTTTGGAAGCTTAGATTAGACTTAGGGTTCTTTTAGGATTTTGGTTAAACTTGAGTTGGCATAGTTAAAATGGTTTGACCATGGGTCAACCTTGATTCAAAATATTTCTAAAATGGGTTAGGAGTATTTAAACTCAATTCACAAGTCAAATGGCCACTTCAAATTTTCATGTTTATTTTAGGATTTAAAGTTTTCCCTTAATCAAACCAACTTTGACTAAAAGTCATAAGGGACTAGCACTCCTTAAATAATGGTATGTGTCTAGGAAAGGTCCATGGTCTCTAAGATAAATCTTAGGGTCATTGGTTACCTAGAGTTTAATTTATTTTTATAATGTTAGGTAATTTAGGTTTTGATAAAGGGTTTGACTTGATGGGTTCACTACCTGCTCACCAAGAAGTATTATAAGGCCTCTGAGAGCTTAATGGGCTTTCTAAGATGGGTTGTTATTATATACTTGGGAATCCCCCTAATAGGGTTCTAGTCACAGTTTCCATATTAAAACAGAAAAATTAAAGTGCTAAGAATGTGTCATAGGAGGAAAAGTTACCTCATTCAAAAATGAGGTTAACATACTATATGTTGCAAATCATATAGTATGATCATGCCTAATTTCTAATTCAACTATCATTATAATATTCTTAATTCAATTAATTTAAAAATTAAACTAATCTTATTATATGATACACATAACATTGCATTATACATGATATAATACATAATATAATTTCCTTGATATTATATGATATGCATAGAACACATATAGAGCACTTTCTTGAAATGACAAGTATACTAATACACAAGAAATGTCATATAAATTAGCATGCACAAAATCAGGATATACCCATTACATTATACTAGACTCATATATAGGAATGACATGGCCTTCTAATTCTTTATATGGCTATTAATCACTAATCATTGAATTTGAATTATATTACTTTTAATGATTTATATTGCTCATATAAAATGATATTACATATATTGACTATTACATGATCTTACAGTTACATGTTCATACTAATATGTATTAAATAGTCCATGCATACTCTTTTTTTTTTCTTTGATTTCAGTTGTATGTCTAGTAAAATACTGATCTATTAGCTCACTTTATAGTTTTTATAGTTTTTTTAAGAAGGGGGCAAGATCCAATGGAGTGAGGTAGATCTGATCTTACAGGTTTAGTTTTAATCTTTATAATTTGATTTTATTTTTTCATAACTAGGATTGATAGGAGATATATTGATGTTAGAAATGAATCCCTAGTTATTTTATGTGAATTTTGAGGAATGAATGTAGAATGTTTTAATGTATATGATTTATAATTGCTTTCATTGGTTTTATTTAAATGCACAATGGCTTTGGTAGATGAATTAAAAGAGAGAAGATAGACAATTCTTCTAAATTTATGTATTTGAGAGTTATAATTTGGTATTAGAGTATTGATTATTAAAAAAAGGATTGTAATTAAAGCTATAGGAATTACTTGAGATGGATGAAAAGTGGGGTAGTTCTAAGGTGAATTCTTTTTTGCATTTGTAATTACATGCATACGAATGATTAAATTATTATTTGATAGAAAAGAGAACTATATTAAGAGTGATGGACCCATATGGCAATGAAGAACCAAATGAAAAGATAATAGTAGCCCTTGTGAGTTTTAACAACATGATACAGTTTGCTAATTTCATATCACAATTGTTGAGTAATACACATAACAGACAAAGTGAAAATAAGGAGACTAAAAAAGAGAAGTATTTATAGATGTTCCACAATTTGAAGATCCCACTATTCAAGGGAACTATCGAGCCACATATATAAAAAGATTGTTTATTGAGGCTACAGAATATATTTGACAATATGTAGTGTCTAAAAAATATGAAAGTACCACTTGCAATATTTTTGCTTGAGGGTGAAGCTAAGAGATAGTAAATAGGACAATAATGGGAGAAATTCTAGAAAAAGATGAATGCAGAGATTACTTGGGCAGAGTTTGTTACTGTCCAACTATGCAAAGTTTTGGATTAGACAACTATGATTAAATCAGGGAGAACGTGGGAGTTTGTATAAAGTTTTATACAACTAATTCCTAATCATTCATTCTATTTATATAGAATGGATGGATGTAAATTCATCTCTTTCCTTCCATAGTATAACAAAAATTATTGATCTTTTATCTCTGATATGGATAGAACCATTGATGGATCCTAACCAAATGATCCAAGAGGATAAAAAAAATATATGAACTTGCAATCCAATGGTCAAATCCTGCTAGATTGCAAATCGATTTCACAATTTGTGAAACCATCATTTAGATAGGCTTGAGATTGGTAAATTATGGATTCAATGAACTTGAGTGCAATTATATATTGCTTTGAATTTGTATGACCTTAAGGAACAATATTGTTGAAGATTAGGAGGCTGAGGACCAATGAATCATAATATCACTCTTAGTCATGAATAAGATCCTTAGAGCTCACTCAAATTCATACACATGGAGGCTAAGGAGGTTTGGGAAGCACTGGGATAAATTAAGAAACGACTTGTATCACTGAGAATTCAAGTGTTTTTAGAGTTAGTTGAGAGAGCCAAACTAAAGAAAATTATGTGGTTATATCCCAGTTTAGACATGATATGAACAGGAAGAGAGTAGGTGAACAAATGACTAGAGGGGCCAATAGTGAGAAGAATAGCAAATTTTCTTAAGTTATGAGAGGACCTATAATACCAGCTAGTAGTGTGTATGAGTGTCCTAGATATGGCAGAAGACATTCATGAAAATGTTATCTGAACACAGGATAGTGTTTCAGATGTGGTCAATACAGACACAGGATGATAGACTGCCCACAAAGAAGATATAGAGAGATATGGATCCAGAGAAGATTAGTCCATGTTAGCATATGGATAGAAACTTGTAGGATCTCAAATGTCTAATCAAGATTCTATGAGTGGTATGGATGGAAGAAATGTGAGTGAGAGTTAGAGGTAGCTCACACCTTCAATGTGACAACACTAATTCTATCAAGGATATATAGTTTAAGTTAACAAAAAGTGAGAAATATATCTGAGAGGTCCACTGATATAATTCTCTATCCTGAATATTCTTATGAATGTTTTATTACTTATGCTTAACATGCATTGCACATGTTATATAATTGATTGATTAACATGCATACATGTGTATGCGTGAGTGAATACTTAACTTGATTGACATGATTGATTTGACAAGTACTCAATAATTTTATTCTGTCTATTAGAAGTTGTGGTGAGTAATATGGATGATAATATTTTTTTAGGGCGGGTATACTATAATGATCTTAATTTTAATTTTCTAATTTCCAGAAAATTATTTGTTGAAATATTGCAGTGTTGAGTTCTCGGGTTTGAGATGATCAATAGAGGGTCAAAATATAATCAAATAATCAAATATAATTCAAACTTATTTGAACAAGGCTATAATACTTCAAAGTTACTTTGAATATTACTAATCATAAGTTAAGATGTTACTAAAACTTATTAAATATGTTGAACATTTGTGAAAATGTTCGAATACATTTTGATCATGGTTTGAAGATTGTTAAGATTGTTCGATAGTAATTTAATCATCGCTTTAATGTCACTTGTGGTACCGGTAGGCTAAACTCTAATAGTCGAGGTGTTTATGATTTAAAATATGAAGCCTATTTGCAACTTCAAAAGGACAAATTAAAAAAAAAAAGCTAACCTTTAAAGATGATGAGTAAGAAGAGATGTCATCTTGAATTTTTTGTATCGACAGAAGGCCCACACTTCAAAATTGCCAAAAATGAAGATTGTGATCGAAAGAGAGGATTGAAGAGCTTTTATGATTTAAGGGCCATCAAAATTATTAAACGAAGGTTTCGACTCTATTTGTTAAAAGTCAATGCTACTTTGATATGAAGAGAATTTTAAACTTTAATTTAAAAAAAACTAAAATAATAAGTATATTTATCCGATTTTTATTATTATGAGATATATAAAATTAAATTTCTCAAATAAAACTATTAATTCATCTATAAAACGTGTGATAAATCATCAATTAAATGTTTTTTTTTTTACTTTCGTATTCTACTACTTCCATAAAATTTATATCCATGTGCTTCATAAAAATAATTATAAAATATTGAAAATTTAAATAATCCAAGAAGATTTTTAATGATATTTTTATTATCACAGTTATTTTATATGATAAATTTGTTTTGTTAAGAGATTAATTAAATAATTAATGTTACTTATTTTTTTATACTTTGGGCTGCTGTTACCGGTTCCATTCTGATATTTTGCGGTCTCCACGGTGGCGAACGATCCGGGATCCGGACGCCGGCGAAGAGAGGGTTTCTACTCGCCGGCTCGAGCGTCTCTTTCCTAGTGGCATCCCCTCTATACTGTTTAGACAAAGCATTTGGAGGAGATTGTCGCTGGAGATGTACGGCGCAGCAAGCGACGGCGAGGGGGCACCGGACGCTGTCCCCAAGAAGATCCCGCCGGCTTCGTCCATGCCGTGGGTCCGAAACCTCCGTAGGTTCATCGGATCGGGGACTGGCTTAGGCTCCGAGGCACGAATGGGTTAGACCGTACTCTATATCTTTCTTTCTCTCCGCGAGATTATTGGCTGATTCTGGATTAATTTTGTGGGAGTTTAAACAAATGTAGAATTGAAAATTTGAACGTGAGCTCTTCAGAAGGTTTAATATGTAGTTTTTGCTCTTTTGAAGCTATGGAAGTTGCCTAGGTTGTGGGGTACGGAATTCGGTAATAATTCAAGTTTTAAAGGCTCTTCTAACCCTTTTTTTGGTTTTTTTTTTGCTTGAATAATTTGTATTTCTGTACTGCCTAGGTGTTTTACCGGTATTCGGATAGTATAATAGCTGCAGTTGATATTTTGAAATTTTCAGGAGTTGAGATCTTCGCACAATGGTTACGCTTCTCCTTCTGTTCTGAGAGGGGTATCGGGAAAATTTCTGTGGGTCTATCGCCTTGTATGGCTAGCAATAGTTTTTATGCGTTTGCTTTGAAGAAATCCGTCATTGCTATCTTTCAGTTGAAATTACTACAATATAAAAAAAACATGCAAGGTTTTATCTAAACCAACGGCAGTCATGATCAGCCACAAAAGCTAGAATGGATTTCTCAATTAAGAAATTGTCAAATAGAGTGTCTGTGCGCATAATTGTTCTTTTAGACATATGGATTTAGTTATATCGAGAGTTCATAGCTGTCAGGCTTTCACTGGAATTACCAGTTCTTAGGAGTCTTAGGCTTGCTTCGCTTTTCGCTTTTCATCTTTTTTTTTTTTTGGTAGGAAAAAAAACAAACAGTAAAAAACAGTCAGTTTGGATAAAAAATTGTTTTTTTTTTCGCTTGATTTTCTAAATATTTTCTTTAGAATGGTTGCCTTGAAACCGTGGCTGAAAAGCAGCTTTTCAGAAGTTCTAACTAGAAAAATAGAGAAGCGTAAGTCTTATCAAGTGAAGTCTCATTGTGCACTATCTGTTATATGTTTTAGATCCATTGCATGTACATTGAGGGTAAATGATGCACCAATAAAACATTCAATGAATTAGGATGGACAAGGGATAGGACTAAGTTGATATGGCTAGAATTTGTGGAAAAGACACAAAATCAAGTTATTACCTCATTTAGTACTTTTTAGGAAATAAATGAGGATTCATAATGCCCAACTCAAATAGTTGATATATGGACAATTTTTAGAAGGCATTTTTTGGGTTTTCCTTGGGACTGGGTAAGATAAAAGGTGTGTGTGTGTGTGTGTGTGGGGGGGGGGGTGGTTTAGAGTCTTGGCGTTATGGGGGGTTGTTTAGAGTCTTGGTCTTATGAGGTGTATGCCCCAAAGGTTTGATGCTTTCCAGAGCTTAGGAAGTGCAATTTTGCTTTCTAGTGAGGAGGCTTACACCAATGTTGTAAAGAATTTTATTTTCTTTCTTAAAGGATAAAAGGGAAGAGCCATGATCTAACCCAACCTAAGTTAGTTTTTAATTTAGGAGGCTCTAAAGAAATTTGTAATATACTAACACAAGGTTAAAATTTCGGGGGTTTAGGGTGTTGGTTTTATGAGGTGTAACCCCAAAGGTTTGATACTATCCTAAGCATATGAAGCGCAAGTTTTGCTCCCTAGTTTGGAGGCTTGCTCCCAATGTTGTAAAGAAGTTTATTTTCTTTTCTAAAGGATAGACCAATGATCTAATCCAACCCAAGTTAGTTTTTAATCCAGAAGGCTTTGAAGAAATTTGTAAAATGCTAACAAATAGGTAAAGGTGTGCTAACAAATTGAAGAGTAACTTAATTGCAAAATTTTCATTTGAATTTTGAATGCTAGGGGTTAATTTAAACTTGCAATATGAAGATGAAAGAGTTTGTATGTGAAAACAATTGTAAAAAGGTTATAGAGTGGCTACATTGCATGTTAATAAGCTTCTCTCCATTCTATTTGATTCAATATTGATAGGATGTTGTATTTTCCTTGATTGATTCCTCCAAAGAAATCCTTTGTGCTTGGACCTATGAGTTGGCATAACTCTACGACTCTACCATAAAGTCGCAAAACCATACACCCAAAATACCAAAATCCGCTCCTCATTTAGTTTATATCTTGCCCGCTTATTTACTTGAAATAACATTTAACATAATAGGGTATGAGCAAAACTTAGTAAGATAAATAATTTAAGGATAAGAAGTACTTAAAATACAATTTTCTTAGGTTTATATGTGATCTTATATGTTACCTATAGACTTCATATAAGGAATGTGTACATTAATACCTGATTTCTTGTAAGCAAAATCTCTAATTTGAAACAACTTCAATTCATCTAATGAATTGAAGAGATTTCTCTTTGTTATTTGCATTTATCATATACTTTTTCTGCTTTCACCTTCAGAAGGTCACGTATGGGAAAGTAGCTCATTTGGCTTTCGTAAATTTGAAAGCTACATACGGAGGACCCTTTTGCCTCACCAAGGTCCAGCCTTTGTTGCCCTAATTGTACACATCAATTTACATATTTTGTTAGAAGGAACCTTTGGCTTCCTACTAGGCTCACCTTTGTCGTTCGACCTGTAGAACTCTTCATCTTCCCACTTTGTCCGCGCATGTGATTTTTCTAAAGGTACTTTCATGACAATTCCTTTTTTGTATACTTCAATGTATTAATTGCATTTTTATTGTACTATTCTATATATAAATGGGCATTTTCTTAAAGTGAAACATTCATTCCCATTTTCACTAACTCTAAAATTAGGTGACAATTTTATGTCATAATTAGGGTAGGCAGTGTCATGAATGTGAAATAAATATGTGATGGGGACATCATATCATGGAAATTATATCAGAGATGTGGCTAACGATCTACGACCACGATCGCACCGATCTATTTTTGATTCATTTTATGTATTTGTTTTATTTATTTGCATTATGTATTTGTTTTATTTGTATTTTCCATTTTACCCTTACTTAAGGGTCTGGTCATATGTAAGCCCTAGGGGTAACGTTGTCTATTTATAAGCCCTTATGTTTCTTTTGAAGTTAATGAAGATTTATTACAGAAAGTTTTTGCTCTTGTGTTCCTTTGAGAATGTTTGAGAGAGTTGAGAGAGGTGAAGCCTAGGAGAGGCCCAACGAAGTACCCAACAGCCACCCTCGGGTGAGCTCTTGTTTTTTTTTTCTTTATTATATTCTTCCTTCTCCTCATCCTCCTCCTCCTCTTGCCACCGGTCTACCACCAACCCCCACTTCTCCTCCTCTTGCCGCCGGCCCACACCCACCCCACTCCTCTTGCCGTCGGCCCACACCAACCCCACCCCTCCTCCCTCCACATGGCCGAGAGTCCCATACCCACCTCATAGTCGCCAACCTCCTCCATCCCACCCAAGCTGTCGCCCCCCCAATCACCCCCACTTTCCTTATTTAGTCCACCCCAATTTGGAAGGGAATTGAATTTAAATTCAAAAGAATTTAAATTTTAATCTTTCCTAATGGATGGACTTATTTTTGGAAAGGGATCACAAATTCACAATCAAATCAATTAATCAAATTTGAATTAATTGATTAATTAAAACTCTAGGTCCAAATACATTGAACCTAGATACCTCTCTCTCTCTCTCTCTCTCTCTCTTGGCCGAACCCCCCCGTCCCCACCCAATTAATTTCCTTTCAAAAGGATGCCTCTCCCATTTGAATTAATTCAAATTCCTTCCCTCTCTCCAATCCCTCATTAATCCTTCCAAATCAAGAGGATTAATTAAGGAAACGCTTGAACTAATTTCCCTCCATCCTCCACCTTTTAAAATATGAACCAAAACTCTCCCTAGCCTCCTACCTTGGCCGGCCACCCTCCCATCCCTTCTTCTACTTGGATTCCTTGGAGAAACTTCTTTCTCTCAAGGAGAATCCTCAAGGACAGCAAAGAGCGTCTTCCACAGTACTTCAATGCCATGTATCTTATGCATGGCCGATCCTGAACTCGACTCCGGCTTCGTCTACAACAAACAAGGCTTCGTCGACATCCTCCAATCAACCTTCTTCGACATCAATCCAGAGGTAGATAATTCTGTCGAAGAATACGTGGAATACATCATATTCACTCTTTCAAACGCCATCGAAGAACAACTTTCCATCGTTCAGTGGCATATCACCGCCACTCCAAGACAAGGGTGAACTCTTTCCCCCTCCTCATTTTCCCTCCCGTTCTCCTTCGATTGTGGTTGTATATCAAGCATAAAGAATCTTGTAAAGCTTTTCGCTAAAGCTTAGTAAACATAGGGAATGAGTGATGAACTTCTATGTATCTAATCTTATTGTTAATCTAGGGATGTTATTGGAAATCCTCTATATTTGCTTATGTTGAGTTTTATAATTATTTTTTGATCCTAACTATTATTGTGTGACTTGGCCTAAACTAAGGCAGGGTTTAGGTGGCTGAAATTTTGATTCTTATTGCTCTTACTTGAAAGCGTGCAAATTCTTATATTCATCATTTAAAGCATTCATAGTTCTACATCAATACGTTTCCAGAAATTATATTTGCTTATCTTACCTAACTATGGGTGTTAAGGATCCTCCCCTAGGTAACTTGTCTCGTCATTAACACCCCGATGATTTCTTTGTGTATACACCACCTAAATAATTGATTTGCTATGTTAAATTCCGTTTTAACTTTCTGACAAAATGAAATCTTAAATTACTTCTCAATATAATATGTTTACCTCAAATTGATCTTTCTTCATAAAAACCCCAAGCTTTCTAACTCCTATTCGTAGTTATTTAAATAAAGGGAATTACGAAAAATCAGAATTTTTACCTTCAAACCTAACTTTTCCTTTAATTTCCTATCTTCTTCCCCTACGGCCTTCAGGTTCCCTTTCAACGCTACGGTTCTAGACTGAGCGCTTTCAGACACAGAAATGAGAATATGGGGCTTCAACTTGGCAAAAATTGGGATAAATGGAAATATTTCTAATGCAATTACCTGACCACCCTTAATATTAACACCACTAATCTAATCACAGTAGTTGCATGCAGTTTTTGGTGGAATTTTCCTAATTAATTGCCCTGCTACAGGATATCAATGCATGAACAGTAAAATTAATTCCATAATTTGGGGAAATTTTTTTATTAAACCCATTTAATTCATATATGTTTATGTATCCAAAATTCATATATGTGTATATACATACCAATGTGTTCGGAAAATTTTATAGGATTATTTTTAATAAATTCTTAGGTGTGCAAAAAAAAAAGGGGTATATCATAATTGAGACTTTTACTTCATACATTTCGGAATATTACATTAAATCTCTATTGTTTGCTAACTTGATTCTTTAAAACTTAGTTACCGTCACTTTTGCTAATTCATTCTCCATTATATTATTATAAAAGCAATGACTTCTCTTCTTTCTAGACCCCTCGAAGGGGAGATGGAGTTCGCATGTGGAGAAAACTAAACTAAGATTTATATCGGCTTCAGTACATGATAATATGCTTCTCTCCGTTTCCTTTCATTTCATATTGATATATATTTACATTTTTCTTGATTGATTCCTCTTTAAAAATCTTTTGGTTTTGATCCCTAGTGTTTGCATAATTCCATCATGAAGTTTTAAAACCTAATTTACTATTGGTTCCTTAAGCCTTTCACACCCCAATTCCAGATCAATTTTAAGGCTAACCCAACTCAATTTTAAGTTAACACTGCTATTTTTTTGCGTAATCTTAATTTTTCTTTTTTCATACACAAGGTTAGCTCATATCCTTCTCATCTTCTTGGCCGTCTTTGTCGCTTATCTCATTGAAATCAAAGCTATCTTCATGTTAGTTTTTTATCCTCCTTTGCTAGTCGTTGAAGCTATCACTACCAGATCTTTGCTAGTGTCAAAAACATCATCCAAAGGACTTCTGTCAATCATTGAAGCTTTATTCGCAGGCCTCATCATTGTATATCATTTGTTTCTTGGTGTCGGACCAAAGCATGATGATATTGATGAAACGAAGCTTGTTTCTAAAAGTGAATTTTCAATGCTCTAGCTTACATTATATAATATTTGGATGCCTCGATTGGACAAGAAGACCGAGGATGAGGAACTTGAGGAAAAATGATTAATTAATTCATTTGTGCTTATTTTTATTCAAATATTAAAAATAAAAAAAAATTATTGGCTTCTGCCCTGTGTCTCATGGATTGCACTCTACTTTGTGTCATGTAAATGCCTCATTTTACGCATTCACTTTTTAAAGCATTGACTAAAGCTAGTGGCGATGATGATAATAATGTGATAAGGATCATTTTTCTACTTTTTGGGCATCTCTGATAGCTTAATTAGAAGCTGCTGGAAATAACTATGATGTTTTAGACGGGCTGAAATGTTAGAAGCTTTCTATGATGTCGATTGAGATTCTAAATTGGTGGCAGTGCATTAATTGCATGATAGATCGGAATGTTTTTATCATATTTTCCTTTGCTACAGAAAGGTGGCAGAGCAACATTTATCCTCTCGTATTGTTTTCTTATGCTATTGAATCATGTAACATTTTTTCTGCTGCATCTGTGACAAATTTTTTTCTAAGACAAGCACAAGTTAGTTATATATTGGAATCTCAGGTGCATGTAATGCTTGCATGTTTGAATGAATGCTGTTTTCTGAACTACAACAACAACATCAAGCCTTTATCCCACTACTTGGGGTCGGCTACATGAATCATTTTTCTCCATTGTGTCCTATTAAAGGTCAAATTCTCGTTTAAATCTAATAAAGAAAGGTCATTCCTAATATTTTCTAACCAATTCTTTTTAGGTCTGCCTCTACCTTTCTTAACATAGGTCAAATCTAATGCCTCTACTCTCCTAACTGGGCCATTGGAAGGCCGCCGTTTTATGTGACCAAACCATCTAAAGCGACTCTCTCTAATCTTATCTTCTACTGGAGCTACTCCAACCTTTTCACGTATATGCTCATTTCGTATCCTATCTCTAAGGGTAAAGCCACTCATCCACCTGAGCATCCTCATCTCTGCCACACTTAACTTAGTATTATGCTTCTCTTTTAATGGCCAACATTCAGCACCATAAAGCATTGCAGTCCTCGCTACCATCTTATAGAATTTTCCCTTAAGTTTGAGGGGTACTTTCTATCTCACAACAAGCCCGATGCATTCCTCCACTTCAACCATCCAACTTGAATTCTGCTAATAATATCCCCATCTATTTCACCATCACTCTGAACAATAGATCCAAGATATCTAAAACGTGTACTCTTATTAATGACTTGATCGCCCAAAGTCAAAATCCCCTCACTAGGTCTATTACTACTAAAATTACACTCCATATATTCCGTTTTATATCTACTCAACCGAAAACCTTTAGTCTCTAATGTTGACCTCCATAATTCAAGTTTACTTTCAACTCTCTCTCTAGTCTTATCAACAAGAAGAATATCATCAGCAAAAAGCATACACCAAGGTACATCCTCTTACAAATGTCTAGTGAGAACATCCATGTGCGTTAATTTTGTTATATATGAAATCAATGCAAATAAGTGGAAGATAGGAATCTCATTATCAATCAACTAGCTACCACTCAATATGCTTCAGGAATGTAGATGATATGGTGGAAATATTAAATTGATACATGCACTTTTAACTGGCAGTTGGGTTACCGTCATTGTCATATAAAGGTTACTAGTTAAATTTAAGGGAGCAACCTCTCCATCTAAGCAATTGTACTGGTGTGTTCATGAACACATCCTCATCCCCAAACCATGCAGTTGTAAAAAAAAAGAAAAAAAAAGGCCCAGGCCAAGAGGGCTTATTTGTGACTATCACAAATGACTTGTCGAATCATTGGTTGGTTGCTTATCTTTTAAGAACATATTCAATCTTGTTGCATATTCTAATTGCTTTTATAATAATGACACATTAATTTTGAATAGTTTGAATTAGCATGATTTTTTTTTATTTGTAGAGCTTGAAACGAAGAGGATATTGCTTGATATCTTTAAAGAACGGCAGCAGAAAAATGCTGAAGCAGGCTCAATTCCATGCTTCTACAAAAAGGCAGGCTGAAGAGTGGTTCTTTTGGTTATTCACTTTGTTATAGTTTCTCCTCTATCATCAAAAGTTCAATGTGTGCTTAATCGTTGATTGGGGTAGACTCTGCAATTTTTAAGCCATTTACTTGATGCATCTTATCTCTCCCTCCCCAATCAAGTAAACACCTACCGGTATCTGATGAGGGAAAAGTCTTTTTTATTCTCCCTAAAAGTATTATTTCTTACATAGATATGTGTCTTTGAATTAGTTTTCCTATATTTTTTGCTCGATAGTTTTTTTTTTTGGAAACTCTGTCTCAAGATAATTTAATGTATCTTGTGAACAGAAACCTGAAGAAGGCTCAATCAGCCAAAGAGTTCAAAGATTGGCAAAATATAGATTTTTAAAGGTATGAACCTTCCCGTCATTCTTGATAGTGATGCCATTTCTCACTTCTGAAATAGTGAATGAATTTTCAATTGTACTTGGAATATTAGAATGACATTACCCTTTATGTTTTATGTTTTTGTTATCAGATCTTGATTGCCAAAATTAAGTATTAATGTTTTTCCTCTTCTGTTTCTTCTTTTTTGCTTAGCCTTATCTTTTTATTCTTTGTTGCTTTGATATCGTATGTTTACTCTTTCAACATTCATGCAGAAACAATCAGAACTCCTGTTGAATGCTGATGATTTGGATGCTATGTGGGTCTGCTTACGAGAAAATTGTGTGATTGATGATGCTAGTGGTGCTGAGAAGGTGTGGTATTTTTTGTGATTTAATGCTTATCCATTGCAGTATATATTGTTTATGTCATCTGCAGTTTGTGACGCACAGTTTCTGATGTGGTTTATTCAGTATAAATGTAACAGAAAATTGATCAAAATGATTTGGGTGTTAAATAAAGAGAAGAACCAGAATCATTAAATAGGAAAGTGCACGTCGGGCTATAGGGCTGGGTAAGCTCAAGATCACAGAGTATCATAAGAGTTCAAAATGATTTGGTGATTGTAGAAATATCAGTAAGCGCTTGTTTGATATTAGGTTACTTTGGTGTTAACTTTTGAAAAACCAGAATTTTCTCTGTTGAAAACTGGTAAAAGAACTCCCTATTTGGTTTGTGCACCCTGTAGGTTTTAACAATCATGACAGAAGCACTTGTGGAGTAGATTTCTGATAGAAAACACTATAAGATTTCAAGTAAATCCTATCAAGAGGGAACAAAAAGCAAGAAATATCCACGATTCCAATGGAAAACCAGTGAAAAATAGTAATTTTATTGCAAGAAAATAAACTACGGAAGAAAATAACAAGATACAATGGATCCTCTATTCGAGTGGAGAATCGATCTCTCCCAAATCTCTAGACGCCACTAGACCCCAAATAAAACCTATGAGATCTCAAATTTCAGCCAAATTCAAGATGCCCTAACCCTAGGAAAACAAACTATTTAATGCATACAAATCAAAAGGGAATCCCTAAAGAGTCCCTACATTCAAATTTCCCTCCTAACTCCCTAAAAAAATCCTTCCTAAACAACTCACACATGCCCGGGCATGCGTTCAGTGCATACAGGAGTCGGAAATGTCCGACTCTATTCGCGTAAGCCGGTCCCGTTGGACTGGCTGGATCGGTCCAATGGACCGGTCTAACAATAGTCCCCTCCCAAAGATCCACCTTGTCCGCAAGGTGGAAAGACAACATCCTCCTCAATTCCTTCTTCATAACAGTAAGAACCTGAAGAGTTCAATCCTTACACCCGTCCCCCGGTGTATACCTCTTGTCACATCTGAAACAGATCCCCTTCGCCCTCTTCTCTTATAATTCTGTTTCTATGAGATTTCTTGAAGTTGTCCTGCAGTCTTCTCCTTTGAAGTCTCCCTAAGAGTACCCTATGTTGGCTCCTTACTCGCAAAAAAGTGGTGATCATCCTATACGAGCCTCCTGAATTGCTGCATCATGCTCCTTTTTCCAGGCGCCTCTGATCCTCCACCTACTGAGCTAACTCCATAGACTCTCCCAAGTCACGAGGTCTCATCACTCTGACTGCTGTGTGGATCTTTGGTTTCAGTCCCTTTATAAAGTTCCCCTTTAGTACAGTCTGTGAAGGTCGATCCAATCAACTAGCAAGGTACTCAAATTGATCACGATACTCCATCACTGTCTCCTCCTGCATCAAAGCGAAGAACTTCTCGTAGAAGTCCCCTACCCTGCTGGTTTGGAAACATTTCAACAGGCAGTCCTTAAAAACTCCTTCCAGGTCCTTATTATTCTCCTCGTATCCCTCTACTGGTATCATGCTAAAGCTTTCCTTTCCAAGCACATCCCGGCTTCCATTAGTCTCTCCCCCTCCGTTAACTTGTTGACGGTAAAGTACCTTTCCACCTTGTTAAATCCACTCATGAGCATCCTCTTCCTCAAAAATAGACATCCTCATCTTCCTCACCCTCTGTTCCCTTCATAATTTCTTCTTCCCCAAGGGTGTGGTTCCCCCCAAGTGTCCCAATCATCCCTTTTACATTCATACCCAAGCCTTTCATCAAATTTCCACCTTATCCTTTCAAATTCAGCGCCCCTTGTATCATAACAAACCCCTCCCCTTTCAGATACAATCTCCTTTTGGTCATAATTACCCATTTCCCTTTTAAATTCCGCCCTTCTCCTCTCTAAATCATCACATTCTTCATTCTTTCTCAACCTCCCATACCCCCTACCAGGTTCCCCCATAGGAACAGGCTTCAGGGGGGGCATTATTTCTTTTCCATTTTGTGTCTCCACCTCCTGATCTTCCCTTTGCCTTATTGGATTAGAGTTTGCCCCGCTTCTTGGGTTGCTAGAAGCTTCCCTCGCCTCTGACGATGCCCTTTTGGATTGACCCTCAAGCAACTTCTTCGTCATCTCCCCAAGGCTGAAAAAATTCTCATCCATCTTCTCGTGGATGGCTGAAATTTGACTTTTGTCATCTGAAAGTTTAGTGTGGAGATATGAAATTTCAGTTTTCAATTGTTCGTTCTCCCATTCCAACAATTCCACCTTTTTCCCTGCCATCAGTACCCGGATCTAAGCTCCAAACAGCAAAAACGGTCAAAAAACAATAATTTCTAGCCTTCAAACAGCTAAAAACAGCTGCTCGGTGAGTGAAACACAATTGAAATTAGCGAGGAGACTTCAATTTCTAGCCGAGAAATTGCTCTGATATCAATTTGATAGGAAATACTTGAAGATTTCAAGTAAATCCTATTAAAAGAGAAAAACAGCAAGAAATCTCTATGATTCTAATGGAAAACCAGTGAAAAACAACAATTTTATTGCAAGAAAATAAATTACGGAGGAAAATAACAAGATACAATTGATCCTCTATTCGAGAGGGGGATCGATCTCTCCCAAATCTCTAGATGCTACTAGAGCCCAAAAAAAACCTATGAGATCTCAAATTTCAACCAAATTCAAGATGCCTTAACCCTAGGAAAACAAACTATTTAATGCATACAAATAAAAAAGAAATCCCTAAACAATTCCAATATTCAAATTTCCCTCCTAACTCCCTAAAAAATCCTTCCTAAACAGTTCACGCATGCCCGGGCGTGCGTTCGGCGCGTACAGGAGGCGGAAATGTTTGCCTTTGTTCGGGACCGGCTGGACCGGTCTAACAATTTCCATCTCTAAGAGACTACTAATGACTTTCTTTGTTGCAACACAGAATTACTAAAAAGCTTAAATGAACTTATAGAACAGAAGGAGATATGAATGTTTATTAAAAAATCAGGCTCAGGTAAATTTTACAAGGCTACAGCTGTTTATATGAATTTCCTGGTAGTTTGGCCATTGTAGTTGTTGTTTATTCTGATTCAATTGTCCCTGTGATGAATTTCGTAGAACAATATATATGCAATTTAGGATTAAAAGTCTAAAGTTTAGAATATGTTGATTGAGGAAAATGTTAATGTTCGGAGGCTTTGGCAAAAAATATATACTCTAGATAAAGAAGGGACTCACCTATTTCATCTGACTTTTGATTAATTAGGATAAGGTCATTAAGTGCTGGTATCAATTCTAAATATTGCAATCGGTATGTATGGGATGAAATAGTTGTTGTTATATGTATGGGAGCCTTTCCAAAATGTGCTCGTCTATTTATAAGAATTGATAATTACCACAAAATCTTCCTTGCAACACCTTTCTTCATTCATTAGTGTTGAGTGAAGCAAAGCATGCTCTTTACTTCTAAAACAGCATGTCGTTTACGGGCTGCTGTTAGGCAATCTCCTCTTTCTTGGCTGTTACTCTCTTAGACCTAGTTCATGTTTTTTTTTTTCATTTTTTTTTTCTTTTTGAACTTTCTGGTAATGGTCACTCTCTATTTAGTTTCCTCTATCTGTTTTTTTTTTGGGGTAAAGGTGGGCTCTATTTCTATTATTGCTTCTGTTGAAGTTGCTTTGTAGGCTTGTGCTTTTTGAATTTGTGCTTTTCCTATTATAATTTACAGTTCTTTCTCCCATTGAAATGCTTAGTATTCCACTCTTACTGAATGTAATGTTCTTTATTGCTTTTTCTGTACTATTTTTCAATAATGTGTATTCTTTGTCTGTATAATTTTTCCTTCTACTCGTGGGCATGAATTTTCTCATTGTATTGCCTAGAATTTGGGTACTGATTATTATGTAGTGTGATTGTGTAACATTTCTATTAACGTGTCACTTTATTTATTATTTTAATTGATGTAATTAATATATAGCTTGATATTTTGGCTCTTAGTTCTGCTTGTAAAATATATCTACTTTTACGAAAGTTTTGGGTTACTACTATAAATGCAAAGAAATACCTGTTTAAATGGTGCACTTTGCCTAACTGAAGCATGTCAGTATGTTACGCTCTAACATAGCTTACGCCACTACATTGGAATGTAACTAAACAAGAGTAAAAAAGCATATAGCAGGAACAATAATCATTTAAAGTTAGCTATCGAATTTATTTATACGCAAGTTTTCAAATCTTTTTTGTGTTTTTGAGTGTACTCCGAAAGTCTACTGAGCAGCTTTATTGTGTGGGAGTATTGGCCAAGTCTAGTGAATAATAGTAATAATTCCATTTCTCTTGTATATTTGTATTTTGAACATCTTACGTGAATTATTCTGCCAAAAAGTCAAAAAAATAAATGGACTGCGAATGTTGACAATTTTCCAGATTGTTAATATTTTTTCTTCAATTTTGAATAATTTTGTGTTCTTAACGTGTCTCTTGTGGTGTATATGCTTGTACAGATGAACTATGAAGATTTTTGTCATATTGCATCAGTTTGCACCGAACAAATAGGCTCAAAATGTCGGAGATTTTTTAGCCCATCAAATTTTATGAAGTTCGAGAAAGATGAATCTGGAAGGATAGCCATACTTCCATTTTATCTCTATGTCATGAGAACGGTAAGCTATGCTTCCAAAATTATTTTGGGCAATAATTTTACTAGATTACATTTCTTGAAGTTCATGTTTGGGTTTATTTACCTTGCTCTCAATCATTCAACAGTATGTATCTATTCGTTAAATATGATGTAATTATATAAGGAAAGATCTTGCTAAGTAAATGAGACCATGGTTCGGTAACATTTTTTTTTTATGTTTTTCACTTTTTTGTTATTTATCATCCTTAACATAATTTTTGTTTTTTGGTTCTTTTTTTTGTTCCAAGAGAAGTGCTATGGAGAGTTCTACATAAGAAAGGGGTTAATAATGCTTATATTCAATTCATTAAGGATATGTATGTAAGCGCTGTTACTTGTGTTCAAACACAAGGTGGCTTGACCAAGTATTTTCTTATTTCAGTTGGATTACCAAGGCTTTTTTCCTTCCCCCTCTTTTCTATAATTTATATTGCCTTTTGCCTCTTGGACTGCTGCAGTTTTCCTGCTGGTTTTCCTCCCACGGATTGCTGCTGACCCTTCGGTTTGCTCCTGAATTTATGCCCCATGGTCCCCCCTTTTACCGAAATTTATAGTGGTTGTTTGGCTGCTGGGTTCTGTGATGTATCTGCTTGAAATCATGGCTTTATTCCTTGTATTTTGCTGTGACGTTTGGGATTTATGTACAAAATCTGTTGGCTTTTCAATTTCCCATTTATGTGTGGAATTGAAGTGATTTTGGGGCTGTTTTGGGGCAGACTGCAGTTTTTTGGTGCCTTTTGGCCTTCTTCTTGGTGTCTTTTAACCTTCCATATTCCCTAATATTTGGGCTGTTTGGCTGCCCTTTTTGTGCCTATAAATAGTGTTGTTTGTGGCTGTTTTATGTGGTGAAAAATGTTATTTTTGGAGTAAGAAAACCTGAGGGTTTCTTTGGAAAAGCTTGAGAGCTTTGTTCCACTTCTTCTTCTACTTCTATGGAAATCTTCCGAGCTCTTTCCAACCTTCGTCTTGGCTTCTAATCTGTTTCGTCTCTCCGAAAGTGCCACTCCATTTGTATCATTCTTCTAATGGATGAAAACAACTTTAGGTGTCTTGTTTGAGTCCTTTTTTCTTTTTGAAGTCTAAAGAAAGGGTTGTAAGGTGTGTGTCCAAGTTTGTAAGTGTTGTTTGTAAGTGTCATGAAATGTAAGAGTTTTCTCTAATATTATAAAAGTGTCTTTGTTTCTTATTTTGTGTTTTTTTTAGAATTTGCTGAATTTCTTTAGCATTTTTAGTATTTCTTTTATATAGGAAGATATTGTTTTTGTGATAAAAAATTTGGGTCCTTCCCCAAATTTTTGATTGCATCAATTTCTTGCCCCCACCAATTTGGTATCAGAGCAAGTTAGGAAGTCCTAGGTTTTGATTTGTCTAGTTGTCAAGAAAAATCTTAGTGAATCATAACAATTGTTGTGATTCTTGTGAGTCTTAGAAGTATTTTGAGTCTAAGTTTTTTAGGTTGAGTCTTTTAAAGTCTTTCTTTGAATCTTTTTTTTTTTGAGTCATTTACAAAATGGAAAAAGACAAAAAAATTGAAGAAAGCAAGCCTGATGAAATTGAAGATCCTATGGATAGGTGGATTCCGACAAAGTCAACAAATCCTCTGGAGTATGAGTTATATAAACTTCAATCTTGGATGCATTTGTGTACTAAAAGATACATGAAAAAGAAGCAACGTTTACAAGATCAGTTCCTGCAAGAACGTGAAGAAATCCTGAAGAAATATGAAGCAAAAATTCAAGAACTTGAAGCTCCGTCTTCACCTCCTCGGAAGAAAGCAAAAGGCAACTCATCGGGAGATGAGTTCTCAAGAAGGGGAGTCTGATGTAGGCTAGGGGGGGGGGGTCAAATCAAATCCAAAAATTTGATTTTTGACTTCTCTAGATCATTAATATCAAGTAATGGTGAAGCTCATTGTGAGCTGATGTTTAGCTCTGAAATTAAAGAAAAAAGAGCTAGATTTGGTGAGTGGAACTTGTTCTTTCACCTTCCTTTTGACTCTTGGGCTGCTGCAGTTTTTCTGCTGGTTTTGCCTCCCACGGCTGCTTCGGTGTACTGCCTAAATTAACTTCCGTGGTCCCCTTTTTACCGTAAATGAACTTGGCTGTTTGATCTCTGTGCTTGGCTGTTGGAACCGTGGCCTCCTTGGTTTTTGCTGTGCCGTTTGGGATTTTAGTATGGTGGCTGTTGGCCTTTCATTACCCTCATTTAATGAAGTATTTGAAGAGTTTTGGGGCTGTTTTTGGACAGAATTTGGACAGCTTTTTGGGGACTGGTTTGGTGGCTGTTTGGGAGGATTTGCATGAGCCTTTTCACTGTTTTCTATGCAATCTTCCTACAGAATTCATGCAGTCTTTTAGTCTTCTTTTTAGTGACTTATGGCCTTTTATTTCCCTATTTTAATGGCTTTAAATATTGCTTTTAGGTGGCTGTTTGTATTCCTTCTTTGTGCCTATAAATAGAGTTGTTTTGTGGTTGTTTTAGATAGTTTATGTGAGTTATTTTTGGAATAGAAACCTGCGGGTTTGTTGTTTGGAAAAGCTTGCGAGCTTTGTCCAACTATCCTCCTTCCTTCTTTGAGAAAGCTTGCGAGCTTGTCTCCACTTCGTCTTGGCTTCTAACCTTTTTCTTCTATCCGCAAGTTTACACCCCACCTGTATCCTTCTTCTCAAAGTAAGCAAGTTTAGGGTGTCTTGATTGAGTCAAGTTTGTAAGTCGTTTTAATTTTAAAAGTTTGTAAGTCATTTTATTTTATTAAAGTAAAGTTGTTTTGGTTCAATTGTCATATTTTGTATCCTTTTGAGTGTTTTAGTGAGTTTCTTTTATATAGGAAGTAACTGTTTTTGTGATAAAAAATTTGGGTCCCTACCCAAATTTTTGCTCGCATCAAATCTTCGAGCCATAATACATCCTACCATCCACTCTTCTTAATTTTGAAGCATATTTTTTGAGAGATAAAAAACCCTAAGTCCCAACTTATCTCTCTTTCCCTCACATCATTTAAATATGTTGATTCCATGTTGAAAATAAAGTTGTCTTGATTGAGTTAAAAGATCTTTTATGATTTAACCTTGCATAAATTATATTGATTGAATTAATAAAACATCCTACCATCCACTCTTCTTAATTTTGAAGCATATTTTTTGAGAGATAAAAAACCCTAAGTCCCAACTTATCTCTCTTTCCCTCACATCATTTAAATATGTTGATTCCATGTTGAAAATAAAGTTGTCTTGATTGAGTTAAAAGATCTTTTATGATTTAACCTTGCATAAATTATATTGATTGAATTAATAAAACATCCTACCATCCACTCTTCTTAATTTTGAAGCATATTTTTTGAGAGATAAAAAACCCTAAGTCCCAACTTATCTCTCTTTCCCTCACATCATTTAAATATGTTGATTCCATGTTGAAAATAAAGTTGTCTTGATTGAGTTAAAAGATCTTTTATGATTTAACCTTGCATAAATTATATTGATTGAATTAATAAAACATCCTACCATCCACTCTTCTTAATTTTGAAGCATATTTTTTGAGAGATAAAAAACCCTAAGTCCCAACTTATCTCTCTTTCCCTCACATCATTTAAATATGTTGATTCCATGTTGAAAATAAAGTTGTCTTGATTGAGTTAAAAGATCTTTTATGATTTAACCTTGCATAAATTATATTGATTGAATTAATAAAACATCCTACCATCCACTCTTCTTAATTTTGAAGCATATTTTTTGAGAGATAAAAAACCCTAAGTCCCAACTTATCTCTCTTTCCCTCACATCATTTAAATATGTTGATTCCATGTTGAAAATAAAGTTGTCTTGATTGAGTTAAAAGATCTTTTATGATTTAACCTTGCATAAATTATATTGATTGAATTAATAAAACATCCTACCATCCACTCTTCTTAATTTTGAAGCATATTTTTTGAGAGATAAAAAACCCTAAGTCCCAACTTATCTCTCTTTCCCTCACATCATTTAAATATGTTGATTCCATGTTGAAAATAAAGTTGTCTTGATTGAGTTAAAAGATCTTTTATGATTTAACCTTGCATAAATTATATTGATTGAATTAATAAAACATCCTACCATCCACTCTTCTTAATTTTGAAGCATATTTTTTGAGAGATAAAAAACCCTAAGTCCCAACTTATCTCTCTTTCCCTCACATCATTTAAATATGTTGATTCCATGTTGAAAATAAAGTTGTCTTGATTGAGTTAAAAGATCTTTTATGATTTAACCTTGCATAAATTATATTGATTGAATTAATAAAACATCCTACCATCCACTCTTCTTAATTTTGAAGCATATTTTTTGAGAGATAAAAAACCCTAAGTCCCAACTTATCTCTCTTTCCCTCACATCATTTAAATATGTTGATTCCATGTTGAAAATAAAGTTGTCTTGATTGAGTTAAAAGATCTTTTATGATTTAACCTTGCATAAATTATATTGATTGAATTAATAAAACATCCTACCATCCACTCTTCTTAATTTTGAAGCATATTTTTTGAGAGATAAAAAACCCTAAGTCCCAACTTATCTCTCTTTCCCTCACATCATTTAAATATGTTGATTCCATGTTGAAAATAAAGTTGTCTTGATTGAGTTAAAAGATCTTTTATGATTTAACCTTGCATAAATTATATTGATTGAATTAATAAAACATCCTACCATCCACTCTTCTTAATTTTGAAGCATATTTTTTGAGAGATAAAAAACCCTAAGTCCCAACTTATCTCTCTTTCCCTCACATCATTTAAATATGTTGATTCCATGTTGAAAATAAAGTTGTCTTGATTGAGTTAAAAGATCTTTTATGATTTAACCTTGCATAAATTATATTGATTGAATTAATAAAACATCCTACCATCCACTCTTCTTAATTTTGAAGCATATTTTTTGAGAGATAAAAAACCCTAAGTCCCAACTTATCTCTCTTTCCCTCACATCATTTAAATATGTTGATTCCATGTTGAAA